GTCATGACACTGCCATTGTAACACAGATGGTGGGTGTGTATTAGTAAATTATCAATAGGGTCCATCTGCGTAGCTCTGACTGGTTCTGGGTCACTGTTTGGCCTCAGGGTTTCTGGATTGTTTTAGATGCTGAGGGGCTTGAGCATGGGACAAGTGTGTGTTAAGATGAGTGTGTGTTTGTGTAGGAGGGCGTAGGATTCGCCGATGACTGAGGCTCTGTGGGATTTAACTAGATGCAGCAGAGAGGCTGTTATCCATGTGGGATATAGGCTAATGAGCCATATGCACCTGCCTGTGTGTGTGTGGATGTCAATGGCTGTGTGCATGAATACGTATGTTACTGTGTGACATTTGCAGCCTATGTGTCATCATAATTGTCTCTGAGTCGGAGTCAGAGAGCTCATGCTAATTATATGTGTGCAATATTGTAGGATTCTCTTATTTACATCCAACAACACAATTGTCACTTAATGCACAATAATGACAGGCAAGTTATTTCCATGTGGTCCTGGGTAGTGATGATAGGCAGATTACCAAATTGGTGTTTGACAAATGTAGCAGCTTCTCTCCAATAATAGTATGTACAACTCTGAATTGAACTGTATAGGATCTTTTGGCATTTGTTGTTTTTCCAGACATTTAAAGGCATGTGCAGATTGAGTCACAGGGAAGAGGATTAGAATGAGAAACGTGATGGGGATGGAAAGAATGAATAGCTTCAGTGGAGAGAATTAAAAGCATGAGTGGGAATAGAGAAAGGTGGGATTACTGAAAATGCCAACAATGCAGAAAAGAGCCACACACTGACACTGCATGCAAACGATATATAGGTGTGTGTGTGTGTGTGTGTGTGTGTGTGTGTGTGTGTGTGTGTGTGTGTGTGTGTGTGTGTGTGTGTGTGTGTGTGTGTGTGTGTGTGTGTGTGTGTGTGTGTGTGTGTGTGTGTGTGTGTGTGTGTGTGTGTGTGTGTGTGTGTGTGTGTGTGTGTGTGTGTGTGTGTGTGTGTGTGTGTGTGTGTGTGTGTGTGTGTGTGTGTGTGTGATTGTTAATGCGCATTTTCGTAATTAGATAAATGCTTCCCAGTTTAGGTCATTTATTTCCGTGTATAATCAAAAATTGTAAAATCTATTATCAGGCTGTTGCAATTTGCTTTAGTTGTATAATTTACCAGTGTGAACAGTTAGTCAGTTTTATTTTTTTGACAAAGTGACATTGTCATTATGAAGTATTTAAGTTCACTGTTCCTATTTCCAGTTTTACATCGACCAACAAGTATGCAGACTTAACATTTACCATGGTGGATTTCACAAGTTATAGTTATATATTTAAGAGTTAATGGTGATTAACTAAATGGAAAAAAATTATGGGAATCAATGGCAACCATGAAAGTGGATAACATGCAATCAAAATGCAATATCAATAAAAATGTAAATGACACTGGCCATAAAAATGTTACATATAGATTTGCCTGTCCCACTGTTTTGGCCAAACTTGACCCACTCTACCATGCTGCACTGCGTTATATATCAAATGCACCCTATAGGACTCATCATTGCACATTGTATAGCCTAACTGGATGGTCCTCACTTACTATGCGTAGGATGCAGCACTGGTTTTTATTAATGTATAAAGCCATTTTAGGTAAGCTTCCACTGTACATATGTGCCAGATTTGCCCCAGTTTGTGACTCTTACAACCTCAGATCCAGTGCCTGGATACGGTTCCAGGTTCCTGCTGTGTGGACTGAGGCTGGAAAAAGGAGTCTTTCTTATTATGGTCCTTGGTCTTGGAATGACCTTCAATCAAGCCTAACACTGATGGCACTTGTCTCTATAGCATGTTTTAAATTGAAGTTGTCTGAAGTCCTCACCACCAGCTGCTCTTGCAGTAACAAGTAGTGTACTTTTCTTACTGTCCTAATGTGCACAATGTAGTGACTGCTTAGTTATGTTATCTGTATTTTATATGTTTGTGTTATGTGTTATGTGTAACGTTGCTGCCTTCTTGGCCAGGTCAGCATTGAAAATGAGATTTTATCTCAATGTTTTTATCTGGTTAAATAAAGGTTAAATAAAAAATAAAAATAAACATCATGGATTAAAGTGTAATGGAGGGTTATATACAAAATTGATGTAGTGAGTATAGGTCCTCACAAGTGTTACAAATACAGATAAATGTGTGTGGGTGAGTGACAGAGAGGTTCATTATGGATCTCAGTTTGCTCTCACTCGCTGCTCGTCCCAGCAGGCCATCAAACAGCTAACGTCCACCATTTGATGACTATAAAAATCCCCTCTTGTTTGTCTCTCTTTTTGGCTCTTCTGCCTTCTCCTCCCCTGATGTGCTTCAAGCTGCATGTTTGACAACCACAACCACACTCGTTTTTTTGCCAGGATGATTCATCAATGTGCTATTCAAACCCTCTACTTTTGGAGTTTGCCCTATAACAACCGTGGAAAGATGTATAAGTCAAACCTGAAGTGTTTAATTATACCTCAAAAGAAGGTGTTTGTTGGCATTTGTTCTTTTGATTACAAAAGAAAAGAGGAAGTTTACTCACAGCTCTTACTCAACAGTGGAGGAATGTACATTGCAATGCAACATGGTAACAGAGAATCTGATTTGTACATACTGTTTATCCAATCTGTCCTTCCTTTTTTTAGAAGTCTATTCCTCCTACTCTCTCTATATCTGTGCAAAGTACCTGTAGGTGTGCATTGATGCTGGACATATGCTGTGTATGGGTTCTTACTCAGGCACTGCATTGATTAGAACCAAATAGGGAACTATGGTGCAGTGTGCAGGTGTGTTTCCCTTTAAAAAAAACTAGCCTTCAACTCTCTCCTGCTCCCTGTTCCTTGTCGCCGCACTCCTGTGCACACCTGAGCACCAGGACTCCAAACATCCATAACACCCTGTCGTAAGGAGATTACATTTATGCTTACACCACTGGACACATGGACACACAAGGTTTCGGAAAGTAAAATATGGCCATGTGTAATTTCATGTCACATTAACATTTGTTTATGGGACTTGACAGTCAATGCTACAAAGGTCAACCTCATGGTGGCACTAGAGAAACAACAAATCCCCTAGGATACATCGTCTACAAACTATGAACATATTCGCCAAGATTTAAGGGCAGTTCATCAAATAGTTGTCGAGCTATTTCACTATTAGCCCAAAATGTCAACTCATGGTGTTAGAGGATAAGGAAGGGGATGATCCAAGTCAATAGCATTCATCCTCTGGGCACCATGGATATTTGAACCAAATCCAATAGCTGTTGAGATACTTCAGTCTGGACAAAAGCACTAGACCAACTTTGCCAACACCAGAGCCATGCCACTTGCCTGGCTAAAAAGAGATTTGAAAAAGCTAGTACAAAATGCAACAAAAAACATTGGCAGCAATCAGTCCAAACCCCAGAAAGTGAGGGTGGGGAAAGTCTGAGAAAGTGAGAATTTGGACTGTGAGCGAGAGATATGGACAGGCAGGGGAGAGGAGGAGGGAGGCAGCGTTTGTGAATGAGACAGATAAGAAATGGCGGCCAGGACACAGCGGAGCATTAGAATAAAGATGGCAAACTAATTCCAGCACAACAGGGAGTTTAACACAATTGCAAATCTCACTCTTTCTCTTTGTCAGTGCCAATGTTGACAGCGGCTGAGCAGGCTTTGCAGAGTAATGCTACTGTGATTAGCCGCCGTCAGAGCTAATGCTGCAGCCAGACACTCAGGCTGATGGACATCCTCTGTCTGTCTGCTGACCCTCTGTTATTGCTTGCTTTCTGTACATTTGTGTGCATTATTGTCCCTTGATGTCTTCCCTTTAACTAATTTAAAATATGTAGCCTGCAAGCTCTGCAAACCAGAAACACTTAAACATGCAGAACAAGGCCTATGATAGCCTTCTAATGCTTCAAACAGAATAACCCTTTTAGCCTTTAAAGTGCAGGATGCAGCCAAGACAAGGAGCTATGACTTGACTCACTTGCACCCAGATAGAGTGTTGCTGCAGCTGTCTTTAAGAGGAAGGTTTTCTCTTCTGAAACTTCCTCTTTCATTTGCATATAATGGCCTTTCCGTAACACTGCACGGTGACTTTGGCGGACAGGCGAGGCCAATGAGTAAGCCAACTTGCAAGCTGCTCTTCCATCTAGTGGTGTAAAGGCCACAGTGCACCAACTTGTAGCAAGGTTGCGAGCAAGGACTCATTACAGAGATGAGGCAGAGGGTGGCTGGGTTCATCCAGGGAGGGGGAGCAGGAAGAGATGGAGGAAAGAGAAGAGGAGGGGGGGGGCAAGAGGAGAGTGAGATGTAAGGAGAGACGGGGAGAGAAGCAGCAGTATTCTCTTTGAAGCTGACTGTATTCTCTGAAGAGGACGGTTGCATAATTTCAGTAGGAAAATAGCCTGACGGTGTTGTTTGTATTTCCCCCCCCTCTCGGAGTGGTCTGGAAAGTAAAGCACAGACAACATAAGATATATTTGAAACCTATAAAAACATGGGGGCACTAAAATGTAACCGTTAAGACAGAAATGGCAGCAATATAGACAAAATGGCCCACTTAGATTACACACACCCACATACACACAGGCTCATGACCATATGAGTAATCATCCCTGCAGGTATCTAGTGTGTGTGTGTGTGTGTGTGCGTGTGCGTGCGTGCGTGCGTGTTTATGTGTGTGTTTCTGTTACGTTCTACTTCCTCTCCCTCCTCTCAGTCTCAGTTATGTAGGCTAACTCTCCCATTGGATCGCATTATGTGTCAGGACACTGCATGACTTACACTGGATTAGCCGATTCCCAGCTGAATTCAAACTAATTATTGAATTTCAGGCTTGTCTCTCTATAATTGGACTTAAATTAATCAGAGTGTTTCTCATCATCCTCCAATGCTCTTGTTAGTTCTTGTTCTGCCGCCAAATTACTTTATCAGCCTCCTCTAAAGACTGTTTTCTCTTAATATTAAACATTACCTCACTCTCTCTGCCAGGTCCAAGATGGTCGTCCTGGAATTTGGGCATCTTCATCTGTATCCGCTGTGCTGGTATCCATCGAAACCTGGGGGTCCACATCTCCAAGGTCAAGTCGGTCAATCTGGACCAGTGGACACAGGAGCAGGTCCAGGTCAGAGGTCACACTACAGACACGAATAAATAGAGAAGATATGTTAATGTCTGACAAATACAAACACATTTCCATGACCCTGAGTGTTTCATACTGACAAACAAGGCATCCATAAGCGTCTGTATGAGACACATAAGACATTCATTCACCTTTTAATGGAACAAACTTCCAGAACAACCTGAGGTCTTCACCAACGCTGAGTTCTTTTAAGTCGAGGCTAAAAACACTACTTTTTTCAGCTGCTTACCCAGAAGCCTTTTAACTTGTTTTAGCACCTACCGTATTTATTTCTGTATCTCTTTTATGCATGTTTTTTATGAACCTGTTATTCCATTATGTGTATTTATTGTATTCCTTTCTGTTGTCTTCTTGTTAAGTGTTAATGATGAAGCACTTTGAATTGCCTCTGTGTCTGAAAATGTGCTGTATTGATTGCATCCCACAATGATAGCGTACTCACCGATACGTGGGTAGTTCATGTAGTTTGAAAGTAGTGTGCTCTTGTAGAAAAAGTGGGAAAATCTTGGATAAATCAGAGATGTGTCAATCATTAATGGATTGATACATGTACATATTTATTTAGTAAGGGACATTACAGGTTAAATATAAGCCCACAGCATACCAGCTTTGGATAGACATTGTACGTGCTTTTACTTATGGATGAGGTACAATAAAAACTAATGCTTTTAGACTATGCTTGGGACAGTGCTTTTACATAAGATGCCCAAACAGGAAAGCTGCTATATGCGTATAGTTGTCTTGTACGAAAAGCCTGGCCAGTGGATTTGGTTATTTTATCCATATTGAGATTCATATATTCCTATTTTATTAAAGTAAACAAACATTTCTGGTGGCTTTAGCTGTGTCTGTCGGGGCTTTTTAAATGTTGCATGCTCACATACAGGAGAGGAAGTACTTTCTCATCAGTATGCACTCATCTTGTCTAGTTCTGATGGGCCAGACAGTCAGCATTAATCTCCTTATTGTGGACGTTTTTCTATAGTCAGCAATCTTTTGCCTCTTTTCTCTTAATCCACAATATGAACTCCCTTCGTTTTATACACAGGACTCTGCCTATATCAGAGAGATTAACAATGTTAACATGTTTTCTGTGATTTGGTGTCATCAGTGTGTTCAGGAGATGGGAAATGCCAAAGCCAGACGTCTCTACGAGGCATTCTTACCCGAGTGCTTCCAGCGCCCCGAGACAGACCATTTAGCAGAGATGTTTATTAGAGACAAGTATGAAAAGAAGAAGTACATCGATAAAGTCATTGACATCCAGATGCTTAGGGTGAGTCCTCCTAACACACACACACAAAACAAGGCTCTGTGCCTTTGACAGGATCATTACAAAAGGCCTGAATTACATACCTTCTTTTGTCTCTTCCCTCATCATCTACCCCCTCTTGAGCAAGGCCATTTCATCTTTAGTGTCTGTTTGCTAAACAAAACCATTTGTTTCTGTGTACAGAAAGAAAAGAGCTGCGACAATATACCCAAGGAACCAGTTGTGTTTGAGAAGATGAAATTGGTGAGTGCAGCATTGATAGAGAACTGATCTTGTCCCTATGTTGTTAGATTTGTAACATTAAAGGTGGGGTAGGTCATTCACTTCAGAAACACTTGTTGTTATATTCCATGGAATGCTCTTAACATCCCGACAGCAATGAATACATGAAATGCTTTGACAATAAATATATACAAATATTTCATCTGTGGAAGCCGTGGCGCTGTAAAAAGCAAGTCCAGTTATCTGCCTCGGCCCGCGGCAGATAACTGGATGGCCTACCTGCCTGTCAGCCTTCCATCTCGTGCACAGACTTATCTCGTGCCCTCATTGGTCATGTGCGCGTTCGTGTGTGTTGGAGGAGGGGCTCTGTAAGGAAGTCTGAAGGAAGGGTTGTGTCCTTTCAAATTCTAGCTTACTCGAGCTGGTTTCTCCATTCTTACCTACCCTACCTTTAAGCTGATGCTCTTAGTAAATTAGTGCAGTATTCAATTGAGGTATAGGGTGCTAGAGGAAGATTAGGTGCTAAAGAAAAAGTAAAGAGCATGTTAGTGTGTTAGGAGAAGGTGACACGACAGGAAGTACATCATGAGGATAACAATCTTCAGCCAGTAGAGGGAGATTGGGAGTAACTTTGCTGGTCAGACGATAGCAGGAAGGTCATTTCACCACCAAGGACTCTTGATTCAAGCTCATTTTTTCCATGCAGACATATTGCATTACTTGCATCGACTTTCTCTGTTGTGACAGAAAAAAGACGTCAGCCCCAAGACAAATACCCAGGCTGTCACAGACCTGCTTGGATTAGGTAATGCAGCTCACACATATGCACACACTAACACCCATTTACTGTACAGCAAGAGAAAGAGATAGAAATAGATAATAATCTCTTATAATCAGACTATCTACCATCTACCCTTTCTTAGATGCCCCTGCTCCAAGTCCTGCAGTGTCTAACGGAGGAGGATGTAATGGGAGCCCAGCGGTGTCCAATCCGGCTCTGGCACACTCTGCTCTGGATCTCTTCAGCTCCCTGCCGGCACCGGCCACTGCTTCCTCTAAAAACAACACGGTAACACACTGCAAATACAGCACAGGGGGCTATTCACAGAATCCCTAATGTTCCTGCTATCAGCGGGCCTCTAGGGATGGCAATTGGTCCATACTGAAACATTTCCATTACTCTTGGATGGATGCCATAACATTTTGTACAGATATTCAGTGTCCCAAAAGCATGCTGAACTAAGTCAACATAGCTGCTAAACATTGATGTTAGCATTTTCGTTGTGAGCTTTGGCCTTAGAGAGCGTGAATATGGACTTTTAGGCCTAATTTCAATCTTGCCAATGCACCCTCCCACTCCATGACAGAGAGAAATTACACTTCTTTAAACGGGACCTATCATGCAAAATGCACTTTTGTACGTCTTTTATACATGAATATGTGTCCCCGGTGTTCCAGGGAACTCACCAAGTGTCAGAAAACACAACCCTCTCTATTTTCCTCCATACCCAAATCTCTAAAAAAGGGGCTGCAACGGATCTGATAAAAACTGATCCAGATTTGAACACTTTACTGACGTCAGGACAGTGGCGCTACGGCTATTGGGCCAACTCCACCAATCAGGAGGAGACAGCCACGGCCATTGCCGTTTGAAAGCGCTGGAGACGCTGTAGTACATATGCCAGGCCTGTAGGTGGTGCTGTTCTCACAGAATCTGCCCTTGCTAAAACAGGGGTAAAAAAGTGCAAATTGAGCAAAATGAGGCATGGCTAAAATGCATGATCTGTTTGGTATTTTGAAAAAAAAAAAGTATAAATATGCCTTATATAGGTATGGTCCTACACTATATTATTCAAATATAGCATGATAGGTCCACTTTAATTTGTAGGTTATAAATATACATACACATATAGCTGTCCCTGCAAGCTATGAGGCGGACTTGCTTATTTTTGGAGGAAACAGTCTTAACCCTTTTCTAATTCCTGAGCTTCTTTGGTGGCATTTCTTTTTTGTAAAAGGTTACAATGGAAAGGCACACTTTCTAGACTAGACATGTTCTCAGTTTGAGTGGTTTGCGAGATAATATTTGCACAGAAACACCGTGGTTATTGCACCCTTGTACTGTTGATGATACATGTATCCTCTCTGTCTCTCTATTCCCGCCACCCCTGTCCTCTCCAGCCTGTTTCCAGCTCCATGCCCCAGAGTAGAGTGACTGCCTCTGTGCCTGAAAACCTCAGTCTGTTCCTGGATCGGACACAAAATGCAGAGGGGGGCGCTGTCAAGAAACTTTCCAAGGACTCGATTCTCTCCCTGTACGCCTCCGCCCCATCAGTTCACGCCAGTATGTCTGCTCATGGTAAGAACTGGAAAACGTTCTCTTCGATGTTGATGTCTCCTTAGTGTTCATTTGATATCAAAGGGATTAGAGAATGCCGATTATAGAGTGCTTACCAATGCTAAAATGGCCGCTTTCTCTCTGTGATAACTGTCAGCAGGCTTGTACATGAACCAAATGGGATACCCGACACATCCATATGGATCGTACCACTCTTTAGCCCAGGCAGGTGGAATGGGAGGCCCCATGATGACATCACAGATGGCCATGATGGGACAGCCGAATGGTTTAATGGGTGCTCAGGGTGTCATGGCGCAGCCTAGTGGCGCACCTTATATGACAGGGATGACCCAGGGCATGATGGGACAGCAAAGCGCAATGATGATACAGCAGCAGAACGGGATGATGGGACAGCAGCCAAATAGCGTAATGGGACATCAACAGAATGGGATGATGGGACATCAACAAAATGGGATGATGGGACAGCAGCAGCAGAATGGGATGATGGGACAGCAGCAGAATGGGATGATGGGACAGCAGCAGAATGTGATGATGGGACAGCAGAAGCAGAATGGGCTGATGGGACAGCAGCAGAATGGGCTGATGGGACATCAACAGAATGGGCTGATGGGACAGCAGCAGGTTGGAGGTTTACCTCAACAGCAGGTGTACAGAGGGCAACAAACTCAGCAGCTACAGTGGAACATTACCCAGGTGTGTGTGTGTATTTGTTTTGTACTAAATGAATTTCAAGGTAGCATATGTTCTGGTAATAACAAAATGTGTTTTGTGCTTTATAGATGACTCAGCATATGGCCGGTGTGAATGTCAGCAACACCAGTGGCATGATAGGATACAGCAGTCAACAAATGGGAGGCTCGACAACTCAAAGCTCAGCGCACATGACGGCGCATGTTTGGAAATGATCTCATCTATCAAATATGTGATGTCACGCCAATAACCCTGAGAAAAGAGGGGGACTGAGTTGTACGAACCTTTCAATCACTCTCCAGGAGACATTTTCGAATGAAAGGGGGAAGGAAGATGAAGGAGGAGTAGGAGGAGAAGAAGGAGAAAGGTGTGAAATAGCTGAAGGTTTCGAAAACCACAACTACCTCTTTCTCTCTCCTCTCTGCCCAGGCTTCCTATTCTCTCTTCCATCCATGGCCATGTTTTGCATATTCCCATTCTTGCCTTCAGAACACTTTGGTATGATGTCCAAGACAACAGGGTTCAAGGTTAACTGGTTAGGACTACACATCGTTTTTTGTAGCCTGTAGGCTATGTGCCAGCGTTGTACACATCAGCTATGTGTGGGTGTTAACCAACTGCACGACTTAAAAGAACAGATTTTATTTATTTTACAATTGATCATAATCAGAAGAAAATGCAAAACTTACCCAGTTTAAATCCATTGGTTGATGTCGTTGAATATTGAGGTTATTTTGTAAGAAGACACATTTCCCTTAAAGGATGGAGACATACATTATTTTAAGGCTAAAAGTGAAGGCTAATATTTAGTTTCATTTGGTAAATAGTTTGCTTTCATGGGAATGAGCCTAATTGCCTCGTTTTGCTGTGAGTGAGACTAATATGAAGCTACCCCCAGCAGCTGGTTAGCTTATTTTAGCTTAGCCTAAAGACTAGAGACAGGGGAAACAACAAGCATGGCTTTATCTAAAGACTTTGACTTTGTAAGCATTAATTAAATGAGATATAACATGTTTAACAGTGAGCTTTATATGCACTGTTCTACCTTTTAATAGATAGAGAATAGCCACATTTCCAGTCTTGGTGTTAAGCTAATTCGACCCAGTCTCACGGCATTTCGTGTTATAGTCACGAAATTAATTTAATCTATTGATTCGTGTTCACCAACACGATTTTCGCATTTTTTTTGTGTCACACAGAACGATTTTAAAAGCAATGTATTTATTTTGGTAGTATGTTTCGTGCCTGCACCACGTCTTTTTGTCCGGTCGGGTCTTGGAAGACCAGAAGCTGTGTGGTTCATAAAAACATTATCTTACTCAATATCTTACCCTAAGCCTAACCCTATCCCTTTTATTTTAAATTGTATAATGTCTGACTTTTTTTGCCGTCTGTGAGGAAAAGAAATGGCTCAGAGCCTCAGAATACTGAAATCTGTATTTTTTGTCATCTTTTTTTCCTTGCACGAATTATACTACCAATAGAAATAGATTGCTTCTAAAATCGTTCTGTGTCAGAATACTGAAATCTGTATTTTTTAAATCTGTTTTTCCTTCTAATTTGTTATTATTTACATTGCTTTTAAAATCGTTCTGTGCGACACGAAAAAAATGCATCAATAGATTAATTTCGTGACTATAACATGAAATGCCGTGAGACTGTGTTGGCTAATTGGCTGCTGTGGTTAGCTTCATAAATACCATGGTATTGATTTTCTAAGCTACATTTTGGCAAGGATAAGCATTCAGGTAATATCAAACCAAAATGTAAAACTATTGTTTTAACGTTGTATGAACAAATAACAAATAATTCACATCAGAATCCAACAATTAGCTTAACTTTAGCCGCAACCTTTTCCAAGCGCACAGGGGTAAAGATTTTCGAAGTAAGGTAACAAAGGGATTAAAACTAGATACATATTCTTAGAAAAGAATCAAGCTAGGCTAGGCTACGCTAATCTATTATTTTATCACCCCTCAAGCTGCACGTGGAGGGGGAAATAAACATGAATGAATTAGCTTGGCTTTGCGAAAGAAGAAATACATTTTTCAAATGTTTCTAAAAACATTGTATCCCCTTAAACACTCAAGTCGTCCTACTGTACAATAATCAAATTTAGGAAAATCGTTTAGGTTTTTAGATCCTTTGTCTCACAAGTTATAGCAGCTACAAAACGCCATCTTCTGCTCTATTTACAGAGGGCTTCTTTGAGAATACATACTGAAACTCGACTTCATTGTCTAAAGTCCTAAACTGGATTTTGGGAGACCAAAGATCAACGCTAGCTTTATTATGGTTGTACAGTATTGCAATGCTTTGTTACATCTGTAGCCACATAACTAGTGATAAGTAGAACATTTAAATCAGCAATCCTTTAACAGTCTGGTCAAACCTGCTCTTAATCAATGAATATCTGGGCATATCAATTCACTGTGCTATTTCCTCAGACAGGGTGGGACACTTAAAAAGTCACTTGCATGCATGTACATGTTGAAGTAACACTCACACACCTCAAGTTAATCTACCTTGTACAATAGAGGCCTCAAAAGTTGTTGTTATATAAGAGAGAAATAGAGAGAAGGAGGTGAAGGACAGAGACAAAAGACGACCAAGGTACAGATCATGTTTCAGATTCTTCCACTGAATTGCATGTGGACAATGTTTATCTAACTCTGATTGTATGTTTTTCAAAATATCTGAATGTGTCTCTCTGAATGTTTCTCTCTACATGTTGATCCGCTTCGACCACGACCAACAAAATGTTCAAACGACTGTGCGTCTTGAATGTGTCACAATGTACTTGACTCATTTTGAATACACACCTCAGTAATACTGGGGTGTGTTTGTTTTTGATATTCTACTGTCAATCAATGTACACTTGTGTCTTCTGAATGTCCCGTGGTCAACAGCGTCCTGTCTGTTTTTGGTGAATTGTTGAATTCCAACAAAGGTTTAATGTCCTGCCGTCCAATTAGGATCCAACTGTGACCAGGCTGACACATTATCAGGTCAGTGTGAAGCGAAAAAGTGATTGTACGACCACTCACTTCTACACAAGCCATCTCTATGTCCTTGCTGTTATGTTCATTCTTATAATGCTAACCCTTGCATGAAGCCATTAGTGTAAATAATATGTCTTTCTGTTTTGTCATGTAGAAGCACAGAAATGCTTCTAATGTGAGCGCTTAAAGAGAATTAAATGAATATACTCTTGTGTAACAAGATTCAAATGAAGTGCTGCCATTAAAAAAAAGCAGTACAGCCTTTAAAAAACTCAGAATTTTGTCTATTCCCTCCGAGTGTTTCTTTCAATTGTATCTCATGTTGTGGCAGTTGAGGCAACAGTGTGAGAGCAGCAGTCACTTTCTCTGCTCAGAGCAATATCTGCTATGTTACAGCATATCTGTCAGAGAGGTTTCTTAAAAAGCAGTAAAAATACATTCCTGTGGGCTACCGGCTTAGTATGCTTCAGTTCCTTCTTTTGTCTGGTATATTTTCTGTGAAATAAAAGCAAATAAAAGGAATGTATCTTTTTATGTACTTGTTAATCAAGATATTGTGTAGTTTATTCTTTATCAGAATGTCTCTGTATAATAAGTAACACGATTGATAAACTTGTACTGTATATTAGTTCTGCATTTGTTCCACATGCTTTGCCCCTTTTTGATTTGATAGTCACTTTCATTTGAGAATACTGTATGTGATACTTGTCTCTGTGAAAATATCAAAAATAAATATTCTTTGATTAAATTGTATATATTGTTGAGATTTCAAAGATGTTCAGTTCGACCCAATTGTTTTAAGGTTAATGTATGAAATGAGGCAGATTAATAAAAAAATACATTTAACACATTATTTAATCAGAATATCTAAAAATACACAGCTGACAAATATTTGTGATTCAAATCAACTTTATTGACCTTGCGTCCAGATGTCAAAGGGCATGCAAATACAGGCTTCTGATTCAGAAATAGTTTTTTTTTGTTCTCCGTTTGATTCTATTTTCTTACAAAACTACGTGCACCTTAAGTAATCAATTCTGCAGCGTACAAACCACAAAAATACCAGTTTTACATTATCAAATACTGCACATAGAAAACATTTACAAAGCACAGGTATAAAATTACAGCTCCCTTTTTCCTCTTCATAAGCATCCTTTCAATAGACGGTCAGCTATGCGTTGCCCTTTAAAATGTACTCTGTGAACGCTCCTCGGTGAAAAGGTTAAGGCCGGTTTAGAAAAGACAACCAATCATCCAGCATCACCCGCAATCCAATTTTAACTGTGCTGAATGTTTTCCTCCAGCTTCAGATTTCTTTCCTATAGGCATCTTTTGACTATATGTGCTTGGCTCCATTAAAGTCAACGCTCTTCAAAGCTGTTCCCTACGTTTAGGAAGTTCAAAATGTGCTTTGCTGGGTTTTAAGATGAAGGTTGTCTTGATACTGGCGAGGGGACCTACAGTGGCCTTAATATAGTTTGACAAACATCTAAAAAAAGGACAGGATGGCTACTAAGGAGACTTGTGCTGTGATCAACAACATTTATAGACGTGGATGAAGACAAACCCATTTGCCCATCAGCTCAGCAGTAATGTCTCGTTGACCGTTGCTACATCTGTAAACAGATATTTGGAATGCATGCTTCATTAGGAAAGGAAAGTAAATAAAAAAAACGATTTGTTTGTTGCTCATGGCGGCTTTCAGAAAGTTATTCACAATGCAATGCATGCTCTGCTGAGTCTACATTGCTTCTAGTGCTTGAAATTAAGATCCGACTTAAAAATTGTGTTTGTTATGGTTGTGAGCTGATACAAATTTGGCCTGAGGTTCCCACAACCTTACTCTAATGAGTGAAAAAAGGCTACAGCCAAATGGTTATTGCAAGAAGTATTTCAGAAAGTGGAAAGCTAAGACCATGCTACTTTTTGCATCTCAATGAATTAACATCGTACTGGGTCTAATTGACTTCCTCAACATGTGTCATTATCAAAGTTATTATCATCGTAATCAGACCATCATAAAGATTAAATACAGGAAAAGTGTTAATCATGCGGCAAACATTTTCAAGTTCAAAGCACAGAAATGATAACTCAATCAGCTTGATAGATAAATCGAGTTTCAGTTACAAGGGGAATAGCAATCTTTTCTGTTTTAAACCCATCGTGGCATTTTAAATACATCAAAAGTGCGTTTTCGCCACGCAGAATTCATGCTTGTTTCAACCACAGAGCTGTTCTTTTAAAGTGAACACACAAAGAAAAGGACATACAGTATACAGTAGAAGTAGGGGCAGCCAGAAACAATGCAGGCGAGATCCCTGGAAAGTCCTCAAAGAGACAGTATAGCAAACAAGATGACACAAAATTACACTCAGTCCTGGTGTAAGGATTAAGAAATACATTCATAAAACTATACATATACACATATATAACTTCGGTAGAATATTTCAAGCAAAATACATTTGTCAAAACGTTCAGTTGTGTGCTACAATAGTGAAGCAATGTCTCCTACACAAAATAAGGCCATTGTAAACCGAACAAGCCCTCATTTTCGCGAAAAGCAGGTTTGTGCCTCTCTGACTCTCTCTCCTCTTCTGAATAATAACGCTCTCCTTACAAAAATAAAATACATTTCCAAACATTGCACTCAAGAGACAATTCAGGTTGATTGAAGATACATTAGAAAAGTTTTGCACAAGACAAACGTTGTGGGTTTTACAGGGGAAAAAAAGCAAGCGTATCATGGGTGTACATTACAATCTTTACATTCAAACCCTAATACTATCTTTACCTGTATCTGAAACACAGCGTTATCGAGCTCTACATGCTCCACACTGTTTCCAATAAACTGCTATAGTCTGTAATGGACACTTTGATCATTCCATCAATATTGCAACCCGCCTGCATTCACATTTACAGAAGTCGAATACTCTCTTACGACCTGCTAATACTCTGCCCTGCCATAGTTAACCCTCTTTAGGAAACCCTTTTTAAACTCACTTAAAACAGTTGTCAACATAAGTCAAACGTGATGAGACGATGCATTTGAATCATGTGATACTACAGCTCTAATCTAAGTGTTAACGGTCATATCTGAAAACCCTGATCCTTATCTTCTCCTCACTGTTGTCCACGACTTGAGTTAACAAGGGGCTTTTTAATACATATTTACACATTTAAATCTCTCCGTCACATGCTCATTATGAAGCATCACGCAATACAGTAAATGCATTGAAAGACACACACCCAAACTACACTTTGAAGAAAGGCAGTATGAAACATTTCCCTTTGGTTACAGGAATCAAAAGATTTGGGCAATGCTCTCCTTTAAAACTCTCCTAAAAGGATAATTAAACTTCCTAATGCATTGTCTCTTACTTTACTCATAATAACTGCTTATGTTCAGGGCTACTCAATAAACAGCAAAGGGAAATATAAGTTATCCTTTAAGATTAAGAATCACATGGGGAAATAAACATTTTGAAGGAGTTCACCAATGACTTAACATTTAGGAAAGTTATACAGGTCTATAAATGTATTTTTAAATATTATTTCCATGTATTTTCCATCTCACAAACAAAGCTGTTTTGTTCACACTGAAGAAAATGTGTGCAAATACCAAGAGTATAATCCTCATTTTGACATCATGACAGTCGTTAAGAAAAAATAAATAGATACAAATTTAAAAAAAAAGGTACATTAAATCAATTACTACACATACAGTAACAGCTCCAGCACGGACTAGCTGCAAAAGGTTAAAAAACCCTCCCTTTGTGTACATGAGGGAGGGTCAGATTTAATTTCATCTTCCTCCAGAAGAATTAAAGTTCCCTTTATCCAAAGTTCAGTGTCTCCCTTTTTGCAGAAAGAGAGGAGTGAGCAGTTCGTAGCAGCTGATAGAACATATGGTGGTGATAAAACTAAATGTGAGCTTGTAAACACTCACAAGCTTTTAGTAGCCTGTAAACTGGGACTATTATCTCTCTTAACACTACTTACAAACGTATCCATACACAAGAGTTGGAGTTGGTCCTGAAACAGACGGTTTGAAAAAACACTGAAGGGAACATGTTTTAAACACCTTTTGAACCTGCTACTCCTCAATGAAGACTCAACTATTGTGCATCTTAACTGAACCAGGTCACTAAAGAAAGTTCACTACTTAGAACAAAGTGGCATTGGTCCTTTTTGGTCATTTTAAATATATCTAATAAACAAATGCAAAAGCTAATTGTTAGATGTGTTTGGGACCTGTCTTTATCCCTTGAGCTTTTGGCTATTCCAAAATCAGAGTGGATTGATACTCTTGGTTTATTTTATTTTAGCCCGGTTCGGTTTCACGTGCCATATTAAAATGATTTGCCTTTACAAATGCTTGAATGGACCACATCAGAGTATCATTAAAACGTATTAAAAGTTGGCTTGTGAAACGCCCTTAAGTTTACCTACGGACAAAATCAAAACGCTTTTGAGCAATCCAATGTTGATCAAGAAAACATTATCCTTTTGTTTAGATTTAAAGGTCCCATGTCATGCTTTTCTGGTTATTACCCGTCCCTTTGTGTGTTATGAAGTCACAAACCCTCAAAGTACACCCTGTAGCGAGTAAAACTCTAACACAGAAAAGACCTGTCTATGCTGCCCCAGAACGCCTCGTTGGACATTTCTCTTTTTCTTCCTGGGTACAGTGACGTATTTGGGTATAGTGACGTAACGTAACGTAACGGCTCCGCGGATTGGTCCATGAGCCGTTACATTAAGACTTCCTCACACACACACACACACTCAATCTTTTCTCAGCTGCAGCTCCGCCGATTTCTCAGCCTGAGACGGCGGGACGCGGCGAAGCTGGGAGTTTGTGTGTGAGCACACACACAAACTCCCAGCCAGGCTGCGGGTGTGTGTGTGTGTGCTCGGGCTGGTTTCGGGCTGGGTTTCGCCATGTCTCGCTGTGTCTCGCTGTCTCGCAGACGGCCACTGGGCTCATAGGGAGGGGGGGGGGCAGGAGCTCCAACAAGCCGTTTAGGACAGAGAGTGAATACACATACTATACAGAGATGCTGTATGAGAAACCAATGTGAGTTTGGAAAATTGCACAATATAAATATATTCTAGTAGACCTCAACAATGGAATTATGATCAGTAGAAATGGCCATGACATGGGACCTTTAAGTCAAAAATCTGTGGAAAACTGCCCATGCTGGCATGCAATTAATAGATTCAAAGATGTACACTGGAGTTTGATCAAATAAAATAAAATAAATAAACAGGTGGTCAACCACTGCATGTAAATCAAACATAATATTACAGTAAAGTGCCATCTTGAAGAGTGACATCTGAAGCGAATGAAACTGGTGCACAGGTGAACAATCAACCTGCTGGAAAAGTAACTCTGGCATAAACAGTCAGATATCGTTCACACATTCACAACAGGTTTAGTAACATGTAGTGAGACAGAGTGTGTGTACCGAAGAGAGGAAGGGTGTGTTGTTACCAGCTGTGTGTGCTCACCACCTTCTCTTTATCAATTAGGAACATCAGAAGGGGGAAATCAACAGGAAGTTCAGACAGTCTGGCTGCTGGTAAAGAGAGAGTGGCACCCCCTGGATGTGGAACACAAGAAACCCCAAACTGGAGCTGGACACATTTCCCAGAATGCCTTGTGCTGTACAACAGTCCTTTCTAAAGATGAAGGCAGGATCATACATTTTGTTCATCAGCGAATGAGTAGCTGGCTGAATAATTTGTTCTCTTCTCCTGCAGATTGTGATGACGGCCCCCCCCCCCCCCCCTCGTCACCACCCTCCTCACTAACTCGGTGCTCTTTTTTCTCTCGGATTGCAAAATAAAGCAGCTCCTGATACATTGGCCGAGGCAAGCGAAATCAAACATATTGAAGCACTTTAAAATGTCTCTACAAAAGGTTGCAAGCAAACATGCAGAATGCAGCCCATACATACATAAACACAAATAAGTATATAACTATCTATTTATATATATATATGATATATTTATATCTATATATAAACTCTGCCGTGTGAAAATTATAGAATAGCAGTGTTGCTACCTCACATAATAGCCATTATGTGAATATCCAAGCCTGTTGCCCAGGTGTGTGTGTGTGGCCCGCCGCTCTCAGCTCGTGTGTGTAGAATGTGTGTGTTTTTTTTGCATTACATCTAAGTCATCGACTCTGCTACATTTCCATACTTTATATTGTATACTATTTCACCTACGACTTATAGTTATCATAACAACATTACAATTGCTTTGGTTTTTAAAAAATAAAGTGTTTTTTCCCTTAGTTTGGCATAGAGAGTTTAGAAACTGGCATTGGGATGGGCCTGGGATGAAATCTGGGAATGCAGAATTTCTGAGTCATGGTAGGAAAGGTTGAAAATGGGAACGGTGGGAAATGCTACATGTTCTGGTAAATTAAGTCTACTTCAAGTTAGATTTGCTCAACTAAAATACTGATCAGTGTGTGTGATTATGGACGTACTGAAGGATATGGCGATCAGGTATTTGCACCTATATGTGTGTTCCTGCACAGATGCACATGGGTATATATATATATATGTGTGTGTGTGTGTGTCTGTGTCTACCTGTCTTGCACTTGGAATACAGTCGTTGTGTATTTACAGTACGTGTGTCCGTGTCTGCATGACTCTGTGCCCATGCATGTGGGGTTCTGCTGGGGGTATGCTGGGGGTCTGCTGGGGGTCTAGGTGCACGAGGGGCTGGTGGCGCTCTCCAGGCTGGACTGAGAGAGGCGTCTGGTGAGCGGTCCGATGCTGGGGTCTGCCAGAGAGGAGGTAGGGAACAGCTTGTACCAGCCGCTGACCGTGGCAGACAGGTCCAGGTCCTCCAGAAGGATCTGGGCCATTCCCATGAAGCACTTGTGGTCCATACGCCCGTAATCCCCCCACACGATTACCTTGAGGAGAGGTGAGAATAAGTTATACATAGACTAAGGAGGCGTGTGGCGCAGTGGATTAGTGCGTTGGTGTTGGGATCAGTGGGGCACAGGTTCAAACCCCACTGCAGTCAGCATGTCGTTGTGTCCCTGAAGACACTTCACCCCAAATTGCTCCTGTGGGGATTGCCCACAGTATTGAGTATGTAAGTCACTTTGGATAAAAGCGTCTAACAAGTGACATGTAATGTAACTAATATTTCAGTCTCCCACAAGAAGGAGAAGACTGCGCCTCAACTATGACTATACATCTTTTTTTAAGCTATACATTCTTAATAAATAATATGGTAAGATATTTCTTTCATGTAGTTCTTTATGGTTACAGATAATACTTCTAAACACCTCCAAATGTATCTTTCTGTAAAGTATAACATTGTTTTCTTCTGAATACACCAAATATAACATGTCCTGATTCCTGTCATTTGAAACTTACACATTACTTTTCCTTTTTCAGACAAATGTAATGACACATTTTACACTACATGAGGATAGAAAACATACTAAAACCCAATAATATTTGAAACCACAGAGGGATTCACGAGTGTTAGAAAAACAAGGAAGGGAATGAAAGAAGTCACATACTTGTAGGACTTTGCCCTGAGGACTCTCATCAAACAACAGAGCCTGCTGGTAGGTGGGGTCCAGATTCTTCTTCACTACTTTGGTTTTCTTTTTGGCCAAGCACATGCCGTTCTCCAGCAGATACACCTTCACGTAGGTAGCTGCAGCAGAGAAACACAACACATTGAAACTCCCACATGAACACAGCTCGGACAAAGGAGTCAATACATTTGAATGCAGGGGGAGAAGTGAGTACCTGGTGTGTTCTTGGAGCCCGACTTAGGGGTCAACCTTCTGGCCTGGTTGACCTCCACCTCCAGCTGCCCTCCTCTGTCCACCATGCCTACATGGACATCGCCTGTGGAGGGAAAAACACTATCAATAACAACCCAATAGAAACTTGGGAAACACTTTATATTAAGGTACACTTATTCACCATCAACTAGTTGTTAATTAACATATTAGAGTCAAACTACTAGCTTATTTGTTATGAACAAGACTTCACTTTAAAATAGGGAACATATTCTGAGTTAGAAATACCACATTTTTTGTTATTTTGATGACACTTGTAGTTTCATTTCTTGTTACATAAGAATAGATGATATGTGTTTGGTGTTATTATGGGAGAATTCATATTCTTGTGGTACTGCTGCCTTATTAGGCCCACATTGAGCAGAGCATAATACAGGGTATATGCAGGAATCCTGAAGTCAAATGTAAGACTTTTAAGACCTTTTTTAAGACCCTTTCCATACATTTTAAGACCTCATCGCCACTTCGAGTTTTAACCGGTTACCTTGGCGACACACTTTACCTCACATTTACAATATTCAGTATTGATTGTCCTTCCTCCTTATCTTCCAACCATTTGGACGCAAACTTGCATTTCCCCATAACGATGTTGTTTAACAACCGGCGTAAACGGACCTTCGCGCGCTATCAAGCAGTGAGCGTGCGATGTCCTGTTCAGATGACGTCCAACCCAACGGGATGCCATAAATAAACTACACAGAATCACACTACACACCTACGCAATGATTACATTCAGGCAGACTGTAGAATACAACCTCTTTGGACAATTTATATACTTATTGAAAACAAGCTACCTAATAATAATAATGTAATACCTTGGAAAATGCCGTTTAATACTTTTTAATACTTTTTAATAGCCTTCATTTTCGCTAAATTGATTTATCAACTTTTAATACTTTTTAAGACCCCGCAAACACAACTCATGTACAGCAACTTCTTTACATACAATAAATAAGCACTTATTAGAGGGTTATTGAGGAAAAACTCTTAACTAATGGCCTAGTACTGGGAGAATATGGTCATGTAGAATAAGGCAGTGTCAAAGAGCCAATATACTGCTAATATGCATGTTAATTAACAACTAAATGATGGTGAATATGCGTACCTTAATATAAAGTGTTACCGAAACTTGTATAATCAGAACCAGAACATAATCTCACTAAGGTTGCAATGTCCAGAATGTAACTGCAGAGGGCGACACAGAGCTGTGAACGCGCCTGAACAGCCAGGTATGAGCACAGAACTGTTGTGTTGATTCTCACAAGCAATGACCTTTTGCATGAAAGATGCATACCTCATGCAAGAATAACTTCCTCCGTGCTGAATACACTAGTATTGTGCAGTACTTTTAGACGCTGCTGTGCATTTAACAGTTAGTATGCTGGTGTAGGGCGGGAGATATTTGTATCTGATTCTCCGCCGTAGTAGAGTCCAACATAAATGTACTCTTGTCTCACAACTTTATTAACCTATAACTGTCTAATTTCCATTGGTTAAAAGAATGAATCCCAGCGCAAAGAAGATCTCAGAAAGAATCAAACGATACTAGATGAGAATGAGACACCGTTGTCGATCTTTCTTGGCTTACCCATGGGGGGTGTAGCTAACGTTTGCCGGCCTACGATCTGAGCGGGGCCGAGTCCATCCAGGAAGTCACTGAACTGGCTCTCAGGGCCCAGGCGTGTTGTAGGGAAGACAAACCTGAGAGAGAGCAAAGAGTTATGATGAATATATGTATGCCGTGTGTGCCATGAGGAGTTGCCGGGAAAGGCAAGTTTATTTATATAGCACCTTTCAACACAAGGCAATTCAAAGCCCCCGAACCCCCCTTTTGAACATTCTAATCTGCAACCCAATATTCCGAAAATTCAACGGATCCTGGCCGTATTAGTGTAGCATATAAAATGTATTTGCTCCCAGACATTCATGTGGCTTGCTAGTTTTGGACCCCATCTGTAACCCCAAGGGTAGATACTCACGTTCCATCGGAGCTGTTGGAGTTGGTGCTGCCGTCGGTCGAGTCCTTGCTTCCTTGCCGCGTCACTCGGTTCCTCATCTCCACGGCGATGCCGGTCTCCGTGCTCCGTCGGATGGTGCTGCGAAGCTTCTTCGTCCCACCTTCTGCAAAGAGTTCATAGATCCAAATAAGTTTCCTTTATTCAGTGGGATAATACTCTTAGCGATATAATCAGATGAAGTCGTGGAGCAGTCTGATAAGTAAGACAGGTATTAAACAGGATCAGTGTGGCCTTTGACTGATTTTAAATGCCATTTTTAAAATGTCTTCCATTTTTGTAAAGCACTTTGAATTACCTTGTGTTGAAAGGTGCTATATAAATAAACTTGCCTTGCCTTGCCTTGCCTTGCCTTACCATTAAAGGTCACCTATTATGCATAATCCACTTGTTCATGTCTTTTATACATCAACACGTGTCCCCTGTAAAGAGATTCTGAAAGTTTCAGGAAAAAATATTCTCTCACTTTTTGTCCTGATCCATTTATATAAAAACCTGTCTGAAAATGAGCTGATCAGATTTTGGCCACTTTATGTCATAACGATTTTTTTGGCTTGTGTAACCATTAGCCAATCACCAACCAAGGTAAACCTTATCACCTGGATCTCCTCCTAGAGCACCATTGTGTTCTTTTTAACCAGATATCTCTCAGAGGGGCGTGGGGAGTGGCTCCTTATTTTCATCTAAAGTAACAGACACAGAATCAGCACTTTGGAAACAGGGCTGAAACAGAAGGGATTATGGGATGCTGCAATGATCTGTTTGGTGTTTGGAGCCAAACACTTCAGAGACATGTTTTGTATATATCTGAGAACTATGATATATTGATGAAAAACAGTATAATAGGGGACCTTTAAGGCACAAAAATATGTTATAAATGGATCCTCACATATTTAGTTTTGTAGAGGTTATGATAAAAGCAGATGTTTCCTCAGGCGAGAAGTCGTCATGCTGTTTCTTAGTTACTGTGTTTGCATGAAAACAGACGGAGGATTGATGTCTTTTATGTCAGTGAGACTTAGCTGTACAGGAAATATCAACAATGTTTTTTTTTGTTTTTTTTTTAAACTCAAAAGAAATAACGACAAATCCAGGTTTGCCTTGAGCACACCCAGCCCTACAATATTTATTTTGAAGCAAGTCCACTCGGGCAAGAAGGCAATCTGGCCTAATTTCCACTGGGACATTCCCGCACTATTGGAAAATATGTTCAATTCGCAGGTATTACTACGGCCCATTTCAAATATGGGAAGCACGTTTTACAATAGCTGTTTCGAGTACGGTGCAATAAGCTTTTAGGGGGACTTATGAGCCTGTCTCGGGAGGTAGAAGCAAAATGGTAGCTTTAATAACAGTGAGCATAGTGGGGTAGAGAGAAAGTGGGGAGGCAGAGCTAAGGGGGGCTGAGGGGGAAAGTATTTAGGCTTTACAGCTCTACAGACGAGGCGAGAGGCTACCCCCACACACAGCTTTAAGGGCATCATCCCATTTAAAGACTCACTGTATCTCTGTGGGTCTTGACATGCTGAGTTTTAAGTAGTGAGGCACAGTCAAAGTCACTTAGGTTAAGGGTTTGTGACATGTATGGTTGCACGTTGATGCAGATTTAGCAGAAAAACCTTCCCTTTAATATCACCCCATCACCCCCGTTTTTTGTCCTGCAACATCTCAGCGTCCACAGGCAAACACATCACTTCAAACAGTCACACAAAGACTCAAACTGGTGCATTTTTCTTGTATTTTTTTAAGGAAAAGTGACAACTATTGGAGTAGGAGACATCATCTTGGATCCTGAGAAAATTCGAAATATTTTCTGAAGACAAAATAATGAATTGATTGATCTAAAAATAATCTAAAACCTGAATCTAAAACAATTAATTAAATAAAAACACACACTGTAAACACAAACTGCTTGTGAACACTAAAAGAAGATGCTAATTGTTCTACTACCAGCTTCTCACCATTAATAGAAACCCCAAATAACAGAGGAACGAGATGTAAAAGACAAAAAAAGAAACACTTATTCACCCCGAGGTCTACAACTGGAAACAATAAAGCAATATAAAAACTTCAAATTCCCAGAGCTGTTTAACACAAAGCTCTACAGAGACGTGTGCACACATTCCCACACTGACACTAGGAAAGTAGTGTCTGTACAATCACACCTCTGTTTACACTCTCTCACACAGTGTCAACACGTGTCTGAGCTACATGAGGAAAGTTTAGTCAGACAGGAAGATGACAGAGCTTTAAAAAGACCTCTACACATTTCTGTACTTATTTCCCAGACTTCCCTTTGACCGGGGCTTTCTTTCTAAGCTGCTTTTTTAAATCCTGCAGTAGGGGGTAAACGCTTGAAAATGTCTTAAACCTTCTTACAGACATCTCTAACTTTACCCCTTTAGTTTTTTAATCTGGAAGTAAATCACTGGTAAAATAAGATAACATAAGAGGTACTTTATTGATCCCAAATCGGGAAATGTTTGCGTTGCAGCAGCATAAAAAACCAAACAAGAGCTGCTTTCACAACAAGTACTTTGCCGTACTTAGTTCCCAGCACTTAGTTCCCAGCACTTAGTTCCCCCATGGAACTAAGAGCAGATCGCGTTCACACCGGAATAAGTTCCCTGAGGGAAAATTACGCAAATTAAGCCGCTGACGTCACTTCTTCTTCTTCTGCTTTGGGTTTACTGGCAGGCCGCAAACAACTTCACGGCGTATACTGCCACCCGAAGTCCGCGGCCGGAAATCCCCGGAGTTGGGGACTGGCTTCAGTAGAAGCTGCTGGGACTCCCAGCAGCTTCTACTGAAGCCTTCCGAGTAAATCGCCAGAACACCGACACCTCCTCATCACTCTCCCTCTCCCATGTTTTCTTTTGTGTTGCCATAAGTTAGTCTCTCTGCGTTTCTGCGCTGGGCTAATGCTAATGCTAATAATGCTAATGTGAGGATAATAAAATGGCGGCTTCACAAAACGTTTTGGGAGTTTTACGGGGCGTGGTTTGCAATTCGCCCAGCCAATCAGAAATTGGAACTTTTTGTGTGTGTGTGTGTGTGTGTGTGTGTGTGTGTGTGTGTGTGTGTGTGTGTGTGTGTGTGTGTGTGTGTGTGTGTGTTCAGGAAAGTACCACCTCTCTAGCAGGGACTAAAAAGGGGGTACAAGTTCTCATGAACTAAGTTCTCTTTTTGGTGTGAACGCAAAATCCCAGGAACTATCGGAACTAAACGGGAAAAGTACTCCGGTGTGAAAGCGCCTAAGGCATCCCATATAAGTAATAATAATAATAATAGATGAAATTTGTATAGCGCCTTTCAAGGGACCCAAGGCCGGTTTACATGGTGAACAAACAAACAAAAGAGGCAAATAATAAAGTACAAAATTATTAAAGAGTAGAAATTAAACAATTCTAGAAATTAAACATCTCAAAATAGTATTAAAATAGAAAATATACAGTAGACCATGAAGATAAAACATCTATAAACTTTACAACGGTTAACAAAGCAAGAGAAAACCAACAGATTTTGAGTGCTTTGTTCCGACAGCTCATTATTTAGCGGTTGCTGTAGGAGCTCGTACTGTATGTCTCTCCTCTATAGGATCCAGGTTAGTTAAATGGGGGAGGAGACTTTAAACAAGCACTTTCTCCATCTTGCTTTCTGTTAAGCTCACACCCAGGTACAGCCGTCCCACTTCATTAGCATTGTGCAACTCCAAGCTCATTAAGCATCCTCGCTGTTCCCAAATCATCACCATCACTACGGAGGATAAACAGATTGCAAACAAAGCCACTTGATGAGACTGGAGGAGGGAGGAGGGTTAGGGGGGGGTGAGATCTGACAAGAGGAGTGAGGGATGAAGGGTGAGACAGAAGGGAGAGGACAAGTAGAGTGTTGAGGGGAAATAAGTGAAGAGACAGATGAGAGTGATGGGGGTCCTTTGGGTGTCAGAGAGGAGAGGGGTGCTGCCTGCTATTTATAATCCTGCAGTCGAGAAGATTTCCAAGACAGTGTGTGGTTGGTGTGTGTGTGTGTGTGTGTGTGTGTGTGTGTGTGTGTGTGTGTGTGTGTGTGTGTGTGTGTGTGTGTGTGTGTGTGTGTGTGTGTGTGTGTGTGTGTGTGTGTGTGTGTGTGTGTGTGTGTGTGTGTGTGTGTGTGTGTGTGTGTGGCATCACACCCAGACAGACAAACTCCATGCTCTCCCAGCTGCCATGACAACACCCGCCCTCAGATCTGGACCCAGACAATGCCACCTGAGACAAATGGCGCCATGGCGACGGGCTCATACCCCATCACTTTTTTTTCTTCTCACAAATCTTATTTTTAGAGGCAAAATGTTACTGAAACTTTTGAACTCTCGTCTGAAACGCTGACTGACATACCCACAGCAACAGTAACCAGAACTCTTTCCTGTCAAGTATACAGTGTGTACACTCAAGTATCGACATTTAAAATAGTTAATCAAACATAATTAGCTGTGTACACTCTTAGTATGACGGTCGAATGTGTTTATAATGGTGGTGAATCTTCTGTAAATACTCTAAAGAGGAGTGGGACATCCACATCTAGTGGTTAATTCATCTAACTTCACATCCACACTTGTTACTCATTTTCTAACCAGCCCATCCCCTCCCATCAAATCCCCCCCCCCCACACACACACACACACACGGTGCGAAGCAGTGATCTCTTCCTTCCCATTTAATCCCCTCCTCCTCGTCTGCGCTTTCCCTCCATTCGTTTCCATGGCAATGCCGTCTGCATTGCACCAAGAGCCCCGGCTGGTGTGTTCGCTCACAAGCCTTTCCCCTCTCTCTGTCTTTCCTCGCTCGTATTGTCCTCTCTATACGAGCCTCCATACTTAAACAGACACCACTTATTTTTCTCTTAGTGTCTTTGAATCAAACGTTAAAACACTCTTCTTGCATTTAGTTCTTCTCGTTGTTTCCCACCATATTTTAATTAGTTTCTCATTTCCCTATGCATGCACTCACTGGTGTGCTCCCTTATATTCAAGATTCAAAGGTTTTAATGTCATATGCACATAAACTACCGTGTAGAAAATGGAGCTCCTCCAACGATGCAACATATATGATAAAATACAAAAGTA